GTGCTTAATCCTTCAAATGAAAACATTTGAATCTGTTTATATTAGCAAAGGAAGCATATTGAATTCTTAATCTATCTTTGCAAATATTATTTCCTCTGAAGTGCACTTTGTCCCCAAATGCCTTTCAGAGGAGACTGGGGCAAAAGAAAATATGGCAACAGATATTTAGAGAAATAGCAACGTGAATTTCTTAAGCAGTTCTCTTTTCCAGCTCGGCATCTTCAGAGAATAAGTGGAACTTCAAAATATCTTAAAGCCTACTTTGTAACTGCTAGGGAAATGAAGCTTCAAGTGCATTTCAAAATGATAGCATTTTTTAAAAAGTTCATCCATTCTTTTCCTTCCTGGGCAATTATCAGAAAGTCAGGTCCTTTAACACCTTTGTGATGGAAATTGCCCTTTCCCTGTGAAGGCCAAAATATGCCATTAAATTGCTGCTTTAATTAAATATGGAGTACTTCATCTCCTTTGTCCTATGGAAGGATCTCAACAATTCCTAGGCTTTTGTCAAAAAAGATGAAAAACCGTTTCAAAAAAAGAAAAAAAGAAAAAAGGAACTGCTCCAGTCAGGGACTTTTCCCTTCCCACCATTGCTCCACTGCCTCCCAAATCTGTTGGCTGGGGTGTAATCTGCTTCTCTCTGACTACTAATTATTTCCATTCATTTCCGCAGTGCACAAATTGCAAGCCATGCTGGCAATTTAATAGTCTGATACCAGCCACAGGATAAAAGCAATGTCTTTGTTGAAGAAGTGTTTGAACATGGCGGGCGAGGGGTGGGGGAAGAGAGCAGGAAGAATCTACCTCCCTAGTGTTATACAACTGATTGTCATGCTTTTTGTGATTAGAAGCTGGTATGCAGAAGACTGACATATCCAAAACTTACATAGGTTTAGGTAGATCAATGGTTCACAAAAGGCAAGATAGAGAATTATCTGTATACATTATACAGATAACTAACTAACTAACTAACTAACTAACTAACTAACTAACTAACTAACTAACTAAATAACTAAACAAACAAACAAACAAACAAACAAACAAATAAAATGTTGTTTGTTGTTTTTTGCTTTGGAAAAATTTCTAATAGAACTTTCATCCAGCAACCGGATTGTTCATTAGATGGATATATGTGGAAAAACAGTATCACATAACCTGATTTTGGTCCATTTTATATAATGTTCCAGATTTTTTATCTATAAATGTTTATATGCATGGAAACGATCATCTCTAATCTGGTAATTTGGGATGTGATAGGCTGCAGCTCTCATCACCAAATAGAATTGAGGACAGGTGGGAGGTATAATCCAACATATATAAAAAGTGCCAGAATTAGATTTATTTTATACATTTGGCATATAGATATTTTAGGCATCTTATTTTAGGCATTTTATGTACTGGAGCTCTTTTACTGCACACAGAATGGTTATAAGACTGTCATTCTGCCTTCTGTTTCCATGACAGTGAAAACAATTAATCAGTGAAATAACTTGCCTCCAGAAGTTGTGGGTGTTCTTACACTGGAGGTTTTTAAGAAGGGATTGGACAATGATTTGTCTGAAATGGTCTCCTGCTTGAGCAGGAGGTTTAATTAGAAGACTTCCAAGGTCCCTTCCAATTCTGTTATTCTGAAACTTGAATTAGTTCATTCATGTTATACTGGTAGCAAATTATATAATATAACTGCAACTCTTGAAGGTATACATATTCACCATGTTATTCCTTTTCAGAATAAACAATGTTTTGCAAAGTACAAAAAGGAAATAAGCAAAAGTAAGCCAACAAAATTAAAGCATAAATTAAAAAAAAGCTAGCCAATACCACTTATTCATATTAATTTTTGCAAAAATCATCTATGCATTTATCATCTCCAGCCTTTTAACGTCATCATTCTTTTTTCATATTTCTTATTACTATAAATATACACATTTCTGTCAAACTCTGTAACACAATTTTTTTCATTTTGTTTCCTATCCACTTTTCCTATATCTAGTTGCCATTTATTTCTTGAAAGATTAATCTGCCTTTCAACTGCGTTTTTCGTACAGGACTCCTAATTGATCTTCTTGTGGCTGTTCAGCCTTGGCTATTGCTTCTTTCATTGTTTTTCCTTTTCTCCATTTTTTCCCAAGATGCTCTCTTGGCACTATGAAACAGATGTATCTTACATTCAGAATCTCTCATCAATCCTGCCAATCTTTCATCATAAACAAATTTGTCATATAAATCTATACACATAACTAATCTGTTCTTTTGCCATGTATGCATATGACTAGACATATTCAAAGTATATATTTGAAACAAATAGATTTTTGTCTCAGCAGATATACATCAATGTTGCAAAGCAGACATCATTCTCATTCACTCTTGGATCCAAACAACAATGACTTTTTTGGTTATCTCTTATCTTATTCCCACCCATCCATTCATGCCACCTAAACAGAATATTTTTTTCTTGCAGATCACATTAATTCAGAATATTGTTCAATTTTTCCAAACTTCATAGCTAGTTTTTAAATTATTACCTAGTAGAGGAATAAGTTGCTGTGCCTCTCACCAAGCTAAGGATTCCCACTGTCAAATGCACCCATAATAATTTGCATAATATCAATTCATAGTTTCTGGTATATGCTTTAACACTTTCATTCCTAATTAAAGCTATATCTTCACTTCCCTGCAAATATTCATCTCCCAAATATTGATCCACAAGAACAAATCATCTTCATTACATTTTTCCCCTTTTTTCTTAGTTTCATAGATGTACAATGTTCCTTCCTGCCTGCTTGCCTGCCTGCCTCCCTCCCTCCCTTCCTCCCTCCCTCCCTTCCTCTTTCTTTCTTTCTTTCTTTCTTTCTTTCTTTCTTTCTTTCTTTCTTTCTTTCTTTCTTTCTTTCTTTCTTTCTTTCTTTCTTTCTTCTTCTTTCTTTCTCTTTCTTTTTTCTTGTTCTTTATCATTTACTTCTCTTACATTCCAAATCATGATCTTCTATATATGAAAATGATCCCATAGTTGGCCCATATATTGTTCCTTGTCACTCATGATATTTTGGGGCCAACTGAGGCTGTCACACAATGCTTTTTGCTAAGATGAAGATGATGTGGTCTATGTTACTATCCTTAGTCACATACAGCATTCATTGCTAATGGCAAGCACAATGTGTGTCAGTTTTTGCACATTTTGGTCAGCATGCCACATGTGGAAACAAAACCCTATTTTATTCCAACATGCACATACACACTTCTATACAAGCTCTCTAATTTAGATATTACCTGCAAAACAACATTCTGTTGCCCATACCTATCAACACAAAGGATCATGCTGAGGTTAGCTGTGTAATCCTGTTTTAAAGAGTTGCAATCAAGTGCTATATTCACGCTCCTGCATGCTCTAATGTCATTGTTCCAAATTATTTCTGAAGACCTGCATAGCTTACTTCTTAACTATGGGAAGAGTTAGGTAGTAAGGTAGATCTATATAATTTTATTCATGTCAGCAAAGTCTCTAGTTTTACTCACATGATAGATCTAACACTGTATGGCTGAACTGCCATTTGATCTAGTATAAAGAAATGTATTATTTCAGCAAAAGGAAAAAGAAAAAAGAAAGCAAATAATAGTTACATTATTTATAGATTTTTGTATATGCCAACATCTGCTACAAATAAAAGTATGGTAGCTACTAAATGTGCCATTAATTTATTTAGCCACTGATTACATTTAGAGCTTTCATCTGAAGCCAAAAAAAATAGTTTATGTATGTTTATATAATTTAAGGAATTAATGATAATCCACGTGTATATCTTTGAGATGAAGATATATTTTTTCTACTAGATAATAGAATAATGTGCTAAATATATTGCTTTTATTATATAATTTCTCAATTTATGCTGGCAGCTCAGAAACATACTGGAGTGTCCATTTTTCCATTCAGTCAATCTCAAAAAAGATAAAGAATAATGTGTCACATACTTTCACTGGCTAAAAAATGAAGTCTGATAAATGTTGAAGTAATGGTTACTATGTTATTTTTGGTTTACTATCCTGACACTTGATGCTTCATGAAGAATTTTTGGCTTTTTCTTGTGCTGACCTGCATAGCTAGGCTCATTATATTCAACATCCTTGCAAAAAATGGGTTTTCCCATTCATGCAAAACTGAAATGGGGTGGCATATTTTGCAAACATTTTTGTTCCCCCTGAAAATGCCAACTATATTATTATTTATTATTATATATTATATATGTCACTCCTCTCCCCCAATAAGGTGACTCTGGGCAGCTTACAGATCATAAAAATATACTAGGAAAATTTTTTAAACCTACGCACATTAAAAATTTAAAATTATGTAAATGAAAGTCTCTTTCAAATCCAGTTGCACTTAACTGACAGGACCAGAAAGAATGTGGATTTAACCAACATTTTTTTTTTACACTTTAATGATGAAATCAAATGCTGTCAGTTTCCCAAAGTCTCTCATCTCTTCCTTACTTACAGGCAGTCTACAACTTAAAACAGTTCATTTAATAACCATTTGAAGTTACAACAGCACTGAAAAAAGTGACTTATGACCTTTTTTCACTTATGATTGTTGCAGCATCCCCGTGGTCACGTGATCAAAATTCAGACGCTTGACAATATTTATGACAGTTGCAGTGTTTCAGGTCATGTGATCACCCTTCTACCAAGCAAAGTCAATAGGGAAGCCAGGTTCACTTAATAACCATGTTACTAACTTAACAACTGTAATGATTCTCTTAACAACCGTGGCAAGAAAGGTTGTAAAATGAAGCAAAACTCACTTAACAGCTGTCTCACTTAGCAACAGAAATTTTGGACTCAATTGTGGCCGTAGGATGAGGACTACCTGTATTTTGACCATTCCTTTTTCCAATTTTTCTGTACCTGACCCCAGTCTCAAGTCACTTGCCCATTAGTTTTTCAAGTTCTTTCCTAATCCACTATTCTTCAGACTGTCTTTTTCCTTGTTTATCCCTCCGCAGATCCAGTACAACTTCAACTAGCAGATGGAAGACCTACGGAAAGGAGATTCTCACTGTCATTCAATTATTGTATCTTAAAAATTAATCCTAAATTAAAAGCTTAAAGTAACACAAAAAAGTTTCCATTCATTATGGCCTGAACAGCTCATCCAGAGAAGGATTTCTGATTGTTGTATTCTTATATACCCCGTACTTTCCAGCGTATAAGACGACTTTCGCAAGCTTTAAAATTGGCGCTGAAGACGGGGGTCGTCTTATATGCCGAGTCGTCTTATACACTGGAAATAACGGTAGTTTCCGGTGTATAAAATGACTTTCTAGACATGCAACTCAGCGCCAAAGACGGGGGTTGTCTTATATGCCAGGTCGCCTTATACGCCGGAATATACGGTATCTTACAACAAGAATCGGTACCTTTTTATAGCTTAGGCTTCACTGTGTCATTTTACTTGGAGGATGAGGTGTCCCTTCAAATCACCTGAAATCGCATGAAATTCTGTGAGATTTAGTGCTCATGAGATTTTGGCCATGCAAAGATTATGACTATATTGATTGCTCATGATTTTCCCTTGCTTGCTTTTTATGTTTTCTGGTTTTAATTTTGGTTTTTAATTGGATTTTTAATTTGGTTTTGAAGGCAGTTGCTGTGTTTTCTATTGATTTCTGTATTTTGTTTAGAGGTTGTGTTATTTGGTTGTTTTTAGTTATGTGAGCCCCCCAGAATTACAAATGTGACATGAGCAGCTATACAAATTGAATGAATGAAATGTTAATATGTTAATATTAATATGTTAATGTTGTTATGTTAATATTAATATGTTAATGTTGATTTAATTTGGAAGGTGCAACTGCCTAAGTAATACATACATGTCCAGGTGCCCAGGAGCAGTTGTGACTAGGCCTGGAGCACTTCAGCCATTATCTATAAGTTTCTATCATGGCTATCACAAATACCACAGTTGCTCTTGATCACATAGATGCACTATTACTACTGGTAGCCTGGCATCACCCTGTTCTATATCCCAGATCTCAAAGATTAATTCCAAATTTATTTGCTGTGTGATTATTTAATTAATCTTATTTCTGCTCCTTTCATTTTAAATGTTTAAATGATTTAATTTACTACTATTCTTACTTTAACTTTAGAGTTTTCATTTCAAATATTGTGATTTAATTTGGCTTGGGAAACTTGCTTTAAAATGCAGCATACCTTTCTTAAAATAAAAAGAAAGAAAGAAAGAAAGAAAGAAAGAAAGAAAGAAAGAAAGAAAGAAAGAAAGAGGAAGGAAGGAAGGAAGGAAGGAAGGAAGGAAGGAAGGAAGGAAGGAAGGAAGGAAGGAAGGAAGGAAGGAAGGCATGGTCAGAAGAGCTGATTTAAGCTGGTCTTTCTTACAATTTGTGTTTGTGTGTTTGTTGAAGTGAAAAACTATGTCTTTTGTGATTTGACTGAAGTCTGCATTTCTTAAATCAATCCAGAAATATAACAAAAGCGCAATCTATTCCTTGAATTTACAAGGAAATTTCCCTTTAAAACCAAGTTGCAGTAATAGGACTATGAGATCTATGATCACACATCAGACCAAGGGAGGAAGCAATTGTATGTTCATCCTCCATGACTTTAATCCTCAGTTGTTCAGACTCTCATGTCAGGTGATTCTTTTTGGGTGAGAAATAAAAACAGCCAAATTAGCACATGCTGTTCTCTTGCAAAATTTGTGCTGCTTGCATGAGAGAGAAAATCTTAAACAAGAGGGGAAGAAAAGGATGAGTCTGTATATCTGAGAGATGGCATTCAGCCTACGTTTTTAAAAATACATTGCCTTTGCTAAGTTACAGTCCATTATCCACAAAATAGAAAAACAAGCCAAAGAGAAGAACTCTTTGTTTCCTTCTCTCCTGTTTTATTCTATTTCTTTGAAATGCTAGCACTGACAAATTGGTAGCACTTTTTCAGAATGAACAACAAAAGAAACAATTTGATGTTTCTTTTACAACAGTATGATATTTCAAATAACATATATACAGAGTAGATATTATTCTACTAGTTATTTGTGGGGACACCTATCTACCCTTGTAATGGGAAGTAGGCTGGGTTGTGCCATACACAGAGGTTGGGTAGAGTATCTTCTCTAGGTTTGGAGGATGGAATTTTCAGTATACCTGCAATAAATGATTTGATGGGATAAATGTGGTTATGAATTACAATGGTCCTTATTCTAAGTTGCGGGCTGTGTGATGGCTTAGTGGTTAAGACACTGGGCTTGTTGGCTGAAAAGCCATCAACCCAGGTTCAAGACCCAAGTGCCACATGACAGTGAGAGCTCCAGTCCTCATCCCAGCTCCTGCCCAGCTAACAATTCAAAAGCATACAAGTGCAAGTGAAAAAATAGGTACCACTATGGTGAGAAAGTTACAGCACTTTGTGACATCAAGCTGTCCACATGACCGCGGAAATGTGTTTGGACAACACTGGCTCAATGGCCTTCAAATGGAGATGAGTACCACTCCCTATAGCCAGTAACAACTAACAGAGTAAAAACTGCAAGGACTCTTTTACCTTTTACTTTATTCTAAGGTGACCGATGGGTGGTAAGATGAAATTGAGGCTGTTTGCTGACTCCAGGAAATTCACTCATGCTGCAAATTTCATAATGTAAATAACAATGGCAATGAAAAAGTTGAACCAAGCAATTCAGTTCAATGAAGCCTTTCTTTCAAAACCTTCAAATAAGTTTCAGCTCAGATATGTAAAAGTATGCCACAATGAAATATGAAACAGAATATTAAATTACATTCTGCAGAAAATGATATCAGCAGCGATAATCTTGAGCATAGCTGATTTGCATTTTGCCACACCTTGAAAATATCTGTCAGTGTTGAAATTTTCTGCTATATCAAGTCTTGTTCAGCTATGTAATAATGCTTGTTTGATACAAATCTAGCACTGCTGCCAAATTCATTCAACCTAACTAATAAGACAAGAAACATTTAGAAATAAATAAGCAATCTCTACAATGTATGAATTTGAAAAGAATCTTATGATAATTTAGCCTGTTCAGCATAAAAACCAACTACAACACTCTTAACAGGTGCCACATGCCAATATTTAACTGGGAGAGTCCATTTAGGAGAGGCCTACATAAAGAAAAAATTGTAATACCAGTTTTAAAAATAGGACCTAATACAGTTCTAGAACGTTAAGAGCCAATCTGTTTATGTTTGTTTGAGGGGAAATTGATAAAAACAGTATTCAAAACCATTACTAGACAAACAAGTCTTACTATAAAAATTGACATGGCTTCTGCAAATAAATTCTGCTTATCAACTTTTTGACTGAGTTTTTCAGAGTGTTAAGAGTTGGATGGAAGTAACTATGAGTGTCTTCACCACTGAATCTGGTATAAAATCAAGAGAAAATTATTAAAGGATTATTGTACACCACCCTGGGTCACTTCCTATGAGATGGATAGATACACATTTTATAAGTACACACGTACATACATACATACATACATACATACATACATACTTACATATATACATACCATACACAGCCTTATTATTGTTGAGTACTTTTTCAAGAAGAACTTGGCTCCTAAAGCTACTTGGGGGGAAAAAAAGAACGCTGTGTTGCAAGTGAAGATGGATGTAGGAAAATTATACATATAATATTAAGGCTCTAAATTTTGGTTTTCAAACTTGGAAGTCAGCATTCCCTGAAGTTTAGAAGTACAAACCACTTTTATAGCAGTTGTATTCCTACTTGTACTTTGCGGTTTATTTATTTAGCAAATTTATATGGGTACCCATCTTAACCAAATAACCCTGACCAATCACAAAATTGGTCATTGATCCTTTTTTCTAAAAAATGTACATTGAGAGGTAGAGGTGTAGCTAAGCTGTGCAAAAAATAGAATTAGTCTCAGATTACATTAGGGGAACAGAATTAGGTCATTTCAACACTACTAATTTATAACCTTCATAGAATCACATAGCCAACTTTGGAGTAATATAAAGCCTATTCACATTAAGTGTTATTTTAGCTTAAAATAGATTGCTAATGCAGAAATGACCTTAATTATGAATGGGAACCAGGATTTGGAAATCTTTGTTAGTTTCAATAGTTTTTAATATGTGCATAATTTGTGTTAAGCCTCTGTGATTATTTGTGGAGGCCCCATGTTTTATATATACCTGCTATTTACAGAACGTACAGGGAGCCCTCAACTTACAACAGTTCATTTAGTGACCATTCAAAGTTATAATGCTACTGTAAAAAATTGTCTTCTGACCGTTTTTCACAGTTACGACCTTTGAAGCATCCCCATGATCATGCAATCAAAATTCAGATGCTTGGCAGCTGGTTCATACTTATGACCGTTGCTCTATCCCTAGGTCATGTGATCCCCTTTTGCAACCTTCTAACAAGCAAAGTCAATGGGGAAGCCAGATTCAATTAGCAACCAGGTTACTAACTTATCAGCTGCTCCCAACTGTGGCAAGAAAGATCGTAAAATGGGGCAAAACACACTTTACAATTATCTCACTTAACAACAGAAATTTTGGACTCAGTTGTGGTACTTGGGACACAGCAACAGTCATAAGTATGAACCAGTTGCCAAGCATAAAAACGGTCGTAAGTCACTTTTTTCAGTAACTTTAAATGACCACTAAATGAACTGTTGTAAGTCGAAGACTACCTATACTGACAATGTCTGTTTGATATTAATTTAGGAAACAGACTCCAACATATAAATACGAATATTTAGTGAGGTGCAGATAAATAAACCATATCTTCCTAAATTAAACCAGTATGTTTCTTCTTCTTTGCTTACCAATTACCGGTATAATTTAAGATTTAAGATTTCTCTTTATATCAACAGCCTAGCAGCTCTTCCTCTCAGTTGCTCAATAATTTGCAATCACCTTCTCCTTCCTCCTTTCGATTTTTTAAAATAAACATGAAGCTTTAGAAGAAGGAAATTGCCTTATGTGTTTCCTGAATGTTCTGCCAGTATAGAACATGTCCTTAGCAACTGATAATCTATAGCTTGATTAAAAAAAAAACTGCATCAGGTTCCTTTGTTAATCATTATTTGCGCTCTCTAAA